ACACACACACACACACACACACACACACACACACACACACACACACACACACACAGAGTTTTCTTCATTCATCCTGGCTGGGGTCTACATATCACCCCAAGCTTGCATAAAGGAAGGCATTGCAAAACTTAACTGACCATGCAAATAAATTGTGCAAACAGACTGGCAGATGATCGGCTGCAGAAATATAGTATTCAGTGCATTTTACAATACCTCGAACCCCCAAAGACCTATGCAAGGGTCCTTTTTGTAGAGAATTCTACAAAACTTTACTAGAGAACCAGTGGCGGGATTCAATTTTTTTTACTACCGGTTCTGTGGGCGTGGCTTGGTGGGCGTGGCAGGGGAAGGAGACTGTAAAATCTCCTGTCAGAGGTGGGATTTATGCTGGTTCTCGGAACTCCTCAAAATTTCCGCTACCGGCTCTCCAGAACTGGTCAGAACCTGCCGAATCCCACCCCTGTAGAGAACCCACTGTATACCCAGCAAGCCAAACAGCTGGAGAGCAGGTACTGAAGTGAACAAACAGTTCAAGCAGAATGGATACCCACAATCATTGGTCACGAGATGTCTGCAAAGCACAGTGGGGGGAGAAAGGAAGAAACAAGGTACAAAACCAGCCATATGGCACACCCTGCCTTAATCAAAGACACTTTGGAAGCTGTAGAGCGCGCCTGCAAGTGGGCATCACACACAGCCCAGAGGCTACCATAGGAGGACAAATTATGCATTGTAAAGATTGCTCGGAGGCAGGAGGCACTTACAATGTAATCTACCAAATCCCCGGTGTGGATTGCCCCCAGGCCCATTTGGCCAAAGCAGGGAGGAAGCTAACCGCTAGATTGCAAGAACACAAGCATGGGGTCAGACAAGGAGATCTGAACTCATTAGTAGCTTAGTGTGAGTGAACAAGGACAAACTTTCAATTTTGCAGCTACAGAGATTGTTGGACCAGCCTGGGAAACAAGCCAGTCAGTCAACAGGAGTGCTGATGTACCACCCGCCTGTCAAGTACTTAAAAGGCTGGGCAGCACAAGCAAATGGCAGCTAATGATTTAAAGCCAGCCATGAACACACCCCAATCAACCTCTAAAAAGCCACACACAACCAGGCACTATAAAGACCACACAGAGAACAGCACACAGTCTGCTAGGCGAGAGAGAAGTGCCCTGAAGCCCTGAAGTCTGAATGCTGGGAAGGCAAAACCTCTCATCCCGGGGACTGACTTAGATTGAATCCTCGGGTGAGATGCCTGAGGGAATGTGTGGTGTGAAAGAACAGCTAAGAGAGAGAAAAGAAACTGAATTTTACCTACAGGCAACTTAGCCTCCGTGTCTGGGGTGAAAATGTTCAGGTAGAGGCAATCTTCAGCCACCGTCAGGTTGGACAGCGTTGCATTCATGAGCGTCCTAAAAGCATCCAGCCACCCCAGGTCTTGCAGGCACCTTGAGCATAGACAGAAATGTGCCTGTCGGCATCAGGGGCGCTTTGGGATCTCAAGGGTTAACCTGGCAGGCAGTTGCTACCCTCCCCCCACAACCCCAGCAGCACCCCTGAGGGGGGAGCACTGAGCCACTTTGCTGGCAAGAAGCCAGCATCTCTGCAGGCGGGCCAGGGTCTCCACTCCCCGAGGCTCTGGTGCTGCTCCCAGTGACTGAACCGGAAAAGCTGGTTCTGGGTGGCAGCTCCCCCCCCCCCCCCGCCCTTTTTTGAAAGGCAGAGGAATGCATTTACGCCCAAAAGAGCAGAGGCCGCTGCCTGCCTGGATAGCATCTCAGCGTGAACCACGGATACCGCAATGCAATGCGTCCCTTGTAAGACAGAGCCAGGGCCTGACATCGGTAGAAGGCTCGGCTGGCTTCCTCGGGAGCCAGTAAAACAAGAGCAGCTACTGCATACTTCTTTTTACATGTTGTCATCACTGTCATTTTTCCATTCAGTGTGCAGTATTTGAAATACGCTATGCTTTTTTTTACACACCCACCCACCCTCCAATTTCCTTAAGGCTTGTCAAGGAGAGATTAACTTTGATGGAAATGTCAAAAGAGAAGGACTTGGGTATCCCGCCCTCTTTCCCCACCTGCACAGCAACTAGCCTTTCGTTGCTGTTGCGAATTAAAGATCGGGCCATGCGTAAGGTTGCATCTCTAAGATTTCTCGCCATCAGCATCCAACCAGGCACATCTTCCTTCTCGGGCGGTTTCACGATGTCCCTCTGACTCCTGGAGCACTTTAAAGTCATCCTTCCTTGTCTTGCATTTTCTGCCCAAAGGGGCAGTTTCTGTGGTGCACTTGGATGCAGTTTTACTGGATCAGAGGTTGGTGGGTCTCAGATGAACATGCCAATGTGGAGGAATCCGTACACAAAGCTTCCTCCAGCTCCTCCTTTTTGAGTGCAGCCAATCATTATTTCTAAGCAAGGCAGCTTGGAAAAATCTCCGCTTACCTTATGCTTTATTGTGCTCTGAGTTTTATATTATAGTGACCAAAACTAGGTGCAGTTTTGGTCACCAGAATATAACAGAGATGTTGAAACTCTGGAAAGAGTGCAGGGAAGAGCATCAAAAATGATTAGGGGACTGGAAGCTAAAACATACGAAGAACAGTTGCAAGAATTGGGTATGTGAAGTCTAGTGAAAAAAAGGATGGGAGTGGCATGACAGCAGCTTTCCAATATTTGAGGGGCTGCCACAAAGAAGGGGGGGTGGGGAATCGACCTGTTTTCCAAAGCACCAGAAGGTAAGAGAAGCAGCAACGGATGGAAACTAATCAAGGAGAGAAGCAACCTGGAAATAAGGAGGAATTTCATGACAGTGAGAACAAATTAACTGGTGGATGGTTTCCCTCCAAAAGTTGTGCGTGTTCCAACACTGGCACTTTTTAAGAAGAGACTGAGTGGCCATTTGTCCAGAATAGTAATGAGTCTCCTGCTTGTGCAGGGGCTGGACTAGAAGACCTCCAAGGTCCCTTCCAACTTGTTATTCTGATATTCTGTTACTCAATCAAAACGTTCTAATAAACAGATGTTTTTTGAAGTATGCATGTTGTTCTTCCATTGCTTCGGCTCCAGATGCTGCAGGGTTGCCATATCCCCTTTCTCACCTTGGAGAAGGGCAGCTTCAGAGCCTGGGGAAGTTGAAGGAGAAATACAAGGATGGACTTCATCCTTCAGGGTATCCTCTCTGAATCCTTGGAGGAGAAACCGAATTACACATTTCCCCCTTGTTTTTAATTAAACATAAGGGGAAAAACTTGAAGAAAGAATAGGAATAAACTATGAGTGAATAATGAAGTGTCATGGAGCCGTGGTGGGATTCAATTTTTTTTACTACTGGTTCTGTGGACGTGGCTTGGTGGGCCTTGTGGGGGGAAGGAGATTAATGTATTTGCCGTTTCTCCAAACTACTCAAACTTTCTGCTACCAGTTCTCCAGAACTGGTCACAACCTGCTGAATACCACCTCTGTCGTGGAGATTGTATCTTTCCAATGTCTCACTGTAAAGGACTTAATGTATTCTATTGTTGAAAAGACGATGAATCACTGCTTAAAACTGAGAGAAATGGAACGAATCCAGCAACATTTCCATCAAAGATTGCCATTATTATGTACCCCTGATATACCAACTGGGCTCAGCATAGTCCTAATAACTTAAATTAGTTTGAAACCATTCAAGCATTGAAGGAAGACCTTACATTGGGGGTTGGGATGTGCAGTCTCTCACATAGCTCCAGGGTTCAGCTGGTTGTGGTGAGGAAAATCTCAGGGATCCAGTTGGGGATTTGGCAAATGGGACTCCAAGAAAGCTCTTCACAGGCTTGTCTACGCCCTCCACGCCAGCCAGTTTGCCTCTCAGACGTCCATACTTGGTGTTCACTTCCAGGTGGTCTTGTCTTTCACCTAAAAATTCAAGCCTAGATATGACAACAAGCAATAGACACCAAGGGATGACCTTCCTACTCCCTTCTGTGTTTTAATTTGCTCAGTGAAAGGTTGAACTGCAACAGCAGAGTGACTTCCCCTCTCAGCATCATTTTACTATGGCTACTGCAATCGGGACTTCTACCTCTAGCCTTCTTCTCCTCCAGACTGGAGAACTGGTGCTGGCCAAGGGCTGCCCTTCATGTGGGGAGAGACTGGGAGATGAGGTGGAGATGCAAGCTGGCAAGGCAGAGTGGGACAGGCACTTCCTCCAGGATGGCTTTTTGCTGCTGGGGTCTCTTAGTTTTCAGATGTGTGACGTCTCCTCTATGGCTAAACCTCCAAAGCACCAGAAGGCAAGACGAGAAGCAATGGATGGAAAGTAGTCAAGGAAAGAACCAACCAACAGCCAGCAGGGGGTTGGACTAGAAGACCTCCAAGATCTCTTCCAACTCTTTATTCTGTTAAACAGGCTCAAACAACGGTTTGATCATCTGTTCTGCCAGACATTCATCAATGACATCTTGAAATGGCAAATGTGTCTGCAAGTGACCTCCAAGCTCCCACTGACCATCCACGGTAGCTTGGTGGCTCTATAGCTACATCACTTCAAACAAGGGTAATGGTGCAATTTTATTTATTTCCTTTGTGGGGGCGGGAAATAATTTTTAGTTTGAATCAAATCCAGTGTCACCTGGCCCACCATTTTGTATCATATCCATAATCCCCCGTCAGGTGCACCCAAGACCCTCACAAGGATGAGCAGGGCAGGAGTCTGCCAAATCATTCCCCTGTATCTTGCCCCAAGGTAATCTGGGGCAGGGTGGATATAAACAGCCATTTTGACAGCCAGTCCTTCAGGCTTTTGGCCTTCTCAAAGGGACATCTAAGCAGCAGTCGCCATTCCTTAAAGTTTCTTTTGTTATTTTCAATACTCTTTTTGAAACTCTTCAATATCTTCATAAAAGACTTAGATGAGAGAATAGAAGGGGGACTCATCAAATTTGCAGATGACACTAAGCTCGCAGGAATAGCCAACATCCCAGAAGACAAACTCAGGATCCAAAGAGATCTTGACAGCCTTGAACACTGCGCCCTACCCAACAACATGAATTTTAATATGGAGAAAAGCAAGACTTTACACCTGGGCAGAAAAAAACCCCAAAGGTACATGTACAGATTAGGCAAAATCTGATTCAAAAACGTTAACTGTGAGGGATCTTGGAATCCTACTGGATGATCACTTAAATATGAGCCAGCAGGTTGCCAAGCGCTTTTCACTGTTAGACTCAGAGTTCTGCCGTTAGCAAGTAGTAACTTCAACTTGGTGTTCTAGATCATTCAAATTCCAAAGGAATTTGTGTCTGGTCAAAACCAAAAGCCCGGCTATGGCTTTTTTAATAAATATATTTTTTATTTTTAATATAATCATTCCATCTTCAGTTGAACAGTGTACTATCTGGATACAAATATCTTTGTTAAACAATGATCAAAATTACAACATCCTTCATTAAATTAATATTGATTCTGCAATTTTTAATGTAATATTCTACATATTAATTCTACAATATTAACATAACATTTAACATACTAGTCATAATATTGACCTGTCTTTTAACTTATCCTCTTTATTTTGTTTCCCTATTTCTAACTTCCATTTTTATTATTTAACCATTGATAAAATAGATCCCATAGTAGTGAAGCAGTTGAAAAAGAGCATATAAAGCACTTTTTCTTTAGCATAGGTCAACTAGTCATATTTAGCAAAGGTCCCAGCTTCCCGTAACATTGTGCAAACCCACAATATTGCTGAACTCAGGAACTTGAACTAACCATGTTACTGTAAACAAGGGTGAACATGGAAAATAACTGATGGTGTAAGATAACTGAATAATCAAAAATATACTTGTTATTTCCTCTTTATACTTCCCTTATAGAAATGTATGCAATATTGTCCTTATTTGGTAAAATGTAGTAACGCCCAGGTCGACGCTGAGGTCATAATGGGTATAAAAATATTGTCTCAGGAAGAGCTGGGGGTTCAGAATTTGCCATGTTAATGCTCTGAACGCTTTGCGCAAATAAAGCCTGTATTCTCCAACCTTTTGTGGTCTTGTGTCCTGAATTGGAAGCAAGAATTGCTGCAATAGTAGTATAGTATTCAGTTTGCTCTTTCTCCTTGTCAAGGTTGATCTCTTCATTTCCGCACATTCTAATATTTTCCTAATCACATTCTCATCTGTAGGTATTTTACTCTTCCAATTTTGTGCAAATATAATATATAATATAATAGCAGTGGTTAATACATGAATACACATTTTCCTTACTGTATTTTTTGGGTAGAATCCCCAATAGAATTATTTCTGGTTTTAAATCAATGTGTTGATTTATCATTTTTTTCAACCATATATGTATTTTTGTCCAGTATTTTTTTTTTACTTTTGAGCAAGTACACCACATATGATAATATAACCCAGGTATCTGGTGGCACTTCCAGCATTTAGCCAATTTGTCCTTAAACAGCCTTGCCAACCTCAAGCCTCGGTGGCGCAGTGGTTAGAGTGCACTACTGAAAGCTCCTTCTGATGCAGCCAGCTGACTGCAATTTGGCAGTTCAAATCTCACCAGGCTCACCAGGTTGACTCAGCCTTCCATCCTTCTGAGGTAGGTAAACCCAGATTGTTGGGGGCGATAGGCTGACTCTGTAAACCGCTTAGAGGGCTGTGAAGCACTATAAAGCAGTGTATAAGTCTAAGTGCTATTGCTATTATACAAATTTTCTTTATATGCAGTTGACATTGTTAATTTGTAATTCCTGTCAGAGTGAACCATCATACATCAACAAGCAGATGGTGCTCCCAGCTCCTCCTCCCGAGATGCTGGTTCTTCTCTGAACATTTGAGAGGCAGGGCCAATGGTGCCCCTGTTTACTGAACTTTGGGGTATAAATGTTTCAAAGAATAATAAAAGGGTGATGATGTTCCCTTCCTTCAGTTCAGCATATCAAATATTCCTTATGAAAGGAAGCATGAAATATAAATTGTGACAGGACTTGGTTGTGAAGAAATCTGTTTCCAACACCCACTTTTTGTTCAGCCAGATGAGTCCACCTCCCTGTAAATAAGTAACATGCCCTTGGCCCTCTCCACTACATCTTCGTATTGTAAACATGACTATACACTTTCCCACTTGTCTCAGAAATGTTGCTTCTGTTTCAGATAGTCTACCTGTAACGGGATGTTTCTGAACTTCTTAAAAAAAAATTAACTCAGATTCATAGAAAGAAAGATGATCAATTCTAATAACAATAACAATAAACAGAACCTCCACAAAGGTTCTATGTCCGGAAAGTCTGTTCCCCTGCCCGCAAGAAATAGTAACAACGAATGGTGATTTACAGGCTTTCCCTTTCTTAGCTGACCCTGGAAATACAATTCTACAGTTGCAATACAACATACCAAAAAACTTTGCTGAGAGTTGGACAGACTATAAATTTACTTTTATAAGCAAATTTCATAACTTTTGTCTTTCTAAAGGTTCCCAACAAGAATATCTACTAATGGAAGAAGGTGCCTATTAATCTTGCTTAACTTTTATTTAACGAGTTTGGTTATTATTAGCAAACTGCATAAATTCACAAGATGGATTCAGGCTGCACAGGAAGCAAATGCTGCATTCAAATCTACAGTATTTAGAGAAGGCCTGTCTTAAAATAAAAGCTGGAAACAGAGGACTTTTCAGCAGAAAGCTGCGATCAGGAAAGGAACAAATATTAGTTAGATATGTCTTGACAGAAGTTTCAAAAGAGAAAAAGAGGAAAGTCATGACACCAAACGCCTTGTGCTCCTTTACATCCCCTGAAAAGGACTTTTCTACATTTATTCATGATCAGCAAAAGAAGTTCCATTTACCCTCAGTTGTTATTCCAGCAACCAACAAGCTTTCAATCACGATCCCAAACAGCCAGCACTTCATCTCTGCTGAAATCCACTCGCTTCTCTCTTCCGAAAGCACAAAGGTCTCTGAAAACAGGGCCAGCAAAGGGAGTGCTTGCTTAACAAAGGGTGTGTTTAAAAAGAAAGAAAAAAAACCCCCACACTTTCCCAACAGGAAAAAAAAAAATCACAAAGGTGTCCAGTTCTGCAAAGCTAAGCAAGAGTTCAGAGTCTCATTTTTTTATTCAGCTGGATTGATGCTGATGCCGACAAAATCTGAAGATCTTGAAGCCACAACTGATATACCTGGCTGAACTGATAATTTCAAATTTGCTCCTTGTGACAGGTAGAAATTACATGAGTTACACCTGTGAAAATGATGGACAGAAGGGAAGCCATACTTATCCATTTGAATTATGCAATGATTATGGGACAGTTATATATCTAATAAACATGTACTGTTTTTGTAACTTGTTATGTTCTAAAGTAAATGTCAGGCTTTTGGGTAGAACACGGGCCTGTACATATTGGCATAAGGACATGTGTAGGAGATACTAGGTTATCCTGACCCGAAAGGAACGGGTTAATGATCTATTGTATTACAGATGGTCATAATAGGACCATAACGGGAAGAAGCCATGAGAATGAGGGTAGTTTCCAAGGACAAGGAAACAGGTGTTACGCAACAATAATCTGGGTAGGGAGATACGTAGCTTGGTTAGATTGTGAACCCAGGAAAGGGGCAGAGACTGTATATTTGAACCTGTATTCCTGAGAACCATGTCTTCTGCCATGAGCAGAATTTTCTTTTGCAAAAGCTTAATAATAAAGCTCTTCTATATTGTTCGCGTTTCTCCAGTTGTTTTGTGATTATTATCATACTCCCGAATGCTAGAAAGTAACAGCAGAATGGAAAATATAGTTGATAGTCACAGCTCCTCCTAAATGCCCATTAAACTCTAAAAAGCCCAGCTGTCCAAATGTGTCATAAAGGAGGCAGCATTCATTCTCCCTCGCTGTGCCAGTTCTTCCTTCCTTCCTTGTATTCTTTAAAAGTGGGCTTAAATGGAATATTTTTATTTTCAACAGCTCTCCTAGATCCAGTCAGTGAGAAAAACCTCCATAGCTAGAGTGAGGTCTCTTTAAAATCACTCATTTCCCTCATTTATCACGTAAGATTATTCTTGTCAAATGTCTAACCTCTTCGGCTTCTATGCTTTGCTGGCATCCTGCCATAAAATGCGAGGGGTGGGGGGGGGGCAATGGAATGTAGAGAGTAGAGATTAGAGTGGGAATGTAAAGGACAAAAGGTGGGAAAGGGCAAGTGACCGTCTGGATGGAAACCAGGTGGGCCAGAACCGGATTACACCAGGATTCAGGGACGCCTGGCCTGAGAGTAGGATGTGAAATTACACCGTGTGGAGCCAAACATCCAAGCCATTCCGAAACATCTAAACGGCATGTCATTAGACAGTGATGAACTGATCCAGTGCAAAGGTCCAGGGAAGTGGGGAGAGTGTAACCTTTTGCAGACAACGTTCAGGTCTAGCTCTTCTTTCACTGCAACCACTTAACGTTAGCAAAAGAACCCACCATTTCAACCAAATGAAAACAAGGGTCTTCCTTTCCTAAGGACTGAGCTGGGACAAGCCTGACAATTATGTGCCATCAAACTGATATCAACTGTTAGCAATCGCATCTATTTGCTCCAGGAGGGTTTCTCACCGCAACTTCCAACAGTCCTATATTGTAATCAAATCTATGTACATTGTTTTGATCATCCGCTCCATCTCATTCCTTCCATCTTTTCCATCATTAGAGTTTCCTAAGAAAGCTGAATTTTCCATCTTGTAAAGTCCAGCTATAACTTAAGATCATGATGTGCCAAAAATGAACTTAAGCAGAGGCTTTGAAGAACAAAATCTAACTTTAATTGATCAATAAGGTTAGGGTAAGATATGTGAAGAAGGTTACAAAGCATATAAACAAAAGTAAGTCTTCTTATACTTTTAAGATTCTTTAGAAGTAGAGTAACTGCATTGTAAGTTAGATTTACATCTTTCTGCAAAAGACAAATGCCCTTCTGGCAATGTTTATCTTTCATTATCCCTTCTCCTATTGTCCTGCTAATTGATCACAATTGATACTTAAGAAGGCATTAACAGCATACTTCAAAAGGTGTGGATTCCTCTGGATGGAGGAGATTGCATTCCCAGAGAGGTAGGTTTCATTCCCAGGGGGGTGGGGAATGCTGGGATGAAACATATCCATGAAGGAAAACAGATGGATTCAGGTTGATTTAGATGGGACAATCATGTGTCTTCATAGGAGAGGGATGTAACTGATTGCAGGCACGTGTTATAATTGTTTTACAGCAAGTGAAAGGTTAAAGAAATATTTTCTACAACAGCAAGATAAGAAATGCCTATCCTAACATCAAGATAAGAAATGCCTATAGAGTAACTCTCTACTTAATGCTATAATATATTTTACTACATTTCTTTATTTATTACCCTTCAATCTGAAATATGCTAGTTTGAGCCTAGTCATTTGTGCCTCAATTGAGAACTCCAAAATGATTTGTTCTATTATCCATCAGTTGTTGTTGTTGTTAGGTAAAGTACTTAAGCTCACAATGAGCCAAAAAATGAACTTAATCAAAGGCTTAAAAACACAAATCAGACTTCATTATTGATCAAGGTAAAGTTCTGAGTAGATCATTCCAAACACATGTACAAAAGATGAGAGGAAGGTTTACAAAATACAAGAAGATGTGATGTCCTTCTTATAGCCACAAAACTCTTAATTACTCTAGTCATATAACCTAACTTCAGGGGTGGGATTCTACCAGTTCGCACTTATTTGCTAGAACCGGTTGTTAACATTCTAAGCAGTTCGGAGAACCGGTTGTTAGAAGAAATTACAGGGCTAATCCTGTAAGGAAGGCAGGAAGGAAACATTCTGGTGTTGCTTACAGAAACTGCCTCTCCGTTAACCCTGATTACATTCTTGGCAGGACTAGACTTCCTGTCTCAGGAACTTCTCTGGAGTTTTCTTTCCTCCTTTGCTGGTACTTTGCTTGTGTGGAGTGACCATTCAAAGTTACAATGGCACTGAAAAAAGTGACTTATGATCATTTTTCACGCTTATGACTGTTGCAGCATCTCCACAGTCATGAGAGGCCTGGCGAGGAGATGCATGCCTCGGTGTGAGTGATGTTGAGTTGGCCACACCCAGCCAGTCACATGACCAAGCCACGCCCACCAACTAAGCCATGCCCACAAAACCAGTTGTTAAAAAAAATTGAATCCTACCCCTGCCTAACTTCCTTGTAAAACTCTAGTCATATACTCTATATTACTTGTCTTCTAACTTAGATTTAGATCTTCCTACAACAGAGAGATTCCTTTCTGGCAGTGTTCTTTGTTATCTTTTCTTTCCTTTGTCTTCTTGATTGATCACTTGGTCACCTAATAACAGCACAGATCAAAGGTATGTGGATTCAGATAACAGGACCTTATACTTGATACAGGAAGGATACAATTGATTGCAGGACATGCTTTTACAGAGGCATATGTTTTACAAGAGAACAAAATATCAATAGAATAACAAGTTTTTAAATTAATACTATAATACTATAGTATATAATACTGTACTACCGTTGTAGTATTTCTATTTATTATATCTGTATTACTATTTCTCTACAGTTGTTTTTGGCTATCCGGGGCATTCTCAGAAGTTTCCAACATCAAAAGCATCAACACTCTTCCTATCCTGCTGCCATGAAGTATCACAGGGAATACCACAACTTGCCCTATTCTGATTTATGTAGCTCTAGATACATTGTGGCATCTAATATCTATTCCTTCATAGCTGATCCACTTATTGTTAGTTTGTTGTGTATTTCTTGACTGCTTATTCCTTTATTTTTTTTGATGATTGATCCTAAAAGGCAGAAACTACTTTGATATCTTCATTGTCAATTCTAAGGTTGGTTGTTGTACTGGTTATTTGATGTTATAGCAATAGCAATTAGACTTATATATCACTTTATAGTGCTTTCCACCCCTCTCTAAGCCGTTTACAGAGTCAGCCTATCGCCCCCAACAATCTGGGTCCTCATTTTATCTCGGAAGGATAGAAGGCTGAGTGAACCTTGAGCCTGGTGAGATTCCAACTGCTAAATTGTAGGCAGCTGGCTACAGAAGTAGCTTGCTGTACTGCACTCTAACCACTGCACCACAGAGCCTCCTCATATATTCTCCTTAAGATGTTTACTCACAGGTAGCACCTTTGTAGACAAAACACAACTGATGGTTATCCTGGATGGGAAGCTTTGGGAATTCTCTCATCCAGATTGGGTAAATTTCCTTCAAAATTAAAGTTGAAGAAATGTTCCAAGAGTACTGTACTGTATATGCATAAGACTCTAAACATAAAACATAAGCCTGACATCACAGGGGTACCAAGCACCAGATCTAAAGCAGCAGAAGCCCTCCAGACTAGACAGGTCCTGACAAGGGCAGACCACGCAGAGAGGCCTCAGAAACAGCCCAGCACATAGTGGCGGGGCGTAAGATCCAGGGAAGAACAGGAGGCATGGAAAGGCACAACTAAGTATGGCCTTATGCACAGAAACGTCTGCACAGAATACGGGCTAAGAGCCGACCCCTCCGGGTTTAAATGGAAGCTCCCATTTAAGGTGGTGGATAAGGACCTGTGGCACTACCAGATCCAGATCAACCCGACATGGTGGTAGCAGACATGGGCCAGGAGACCGCAGCGGCCGGAGCGGTGCCAACATCAAGGGAGGATGTGGGAAGTCAAGATGGGCACGTCCGCCCCCGGCAAGGAAAAAGACCCGGTCCCGCAGCTCTTGTTGGCTTTGCTTCTGTCTCGAGGAGAGGGGAGGCCGGAAAAGAGGAACCGGGGCCGCCGCCTAAAGATGCCCCGCCAGGCTCGCCGCTCTGCAGCCAAGAGAGCGGCCGCTTCCTCGGGACGGGGCGGAATCCCCCCGGAAAGAACCTCAGCCTCAGCCTCAGCGGCACCGGACAAGGGAAATTAAGCCATTAAACGTGGACGCAGGAAAAAGCCTTTCACGGCCGAGAGCGGCCTTTGGCCTCGGCGCGAGCCGCAGTTGCGGGGGCGCCGCGAGGGAAGCGGCCGAGAAGGCCGCGCCGTAAGGAGGGTATCCGACTGGGAGCTTCACCGGGAAGCATCCCGGAACCCAGCTACGGGGGTTCATTTTCCTCCCGGCCCAGCGAGGCGCACGGAGCTCCGAGCAGTTTTCTCCTTCCGTTCCCTCACCAGTCCTTCACTTCCGGACGGAGGGGGGGACGAGGGCCCACGGGTAAACTACCGCGCAGGCGCCGGGAGATGAGCCAACGCTTGCGTCCTCTGGCCTCAAGCGGAAGCGGTGCGTCGGCGTGAGCTCGCCAACGCCGGAAGTCGGCCGCCCTTCCGTTGTCGGTCCCCGGCCTGCAGGCTTCATGGTGGGCCCGCTCGGCGGCGGCGGCGGCGGCGGCTTGGAGAACGCCAACCCCCTGGTTTACCGGCGCCAGGGCGAGCGGCCCACCACAGCGCGCGAGCAGGATGAGGGGCTGCCCGACGCCATCGACGACCGCGAGATCTTCGATATCCTTTGGCGGAGGACCGGGGGGGGGGGGGCGGGGGGGGGGGGGGCGCTCGGGGCCCCGGCGCGTCCAGCCTTCCTTGACGGAGCACATCTCATCCGCGGCATCCACGACCCGGAGCACCCGCTGACCCTGGAGGAGCTGAACGTGGTGGAGCAGCTCCGCGTGCAGGTGCGGAGGCCGAGCGCGAGGTAGAAGCCCGCGGCTCCCCGCCCGGCCCCGCCGCCGCCGCCTCTGAGCCCCCTTGTGCCCCTCGCAGGTGAGCGACGCCGGGAGCGCCGTCTCCGTGGAGTTCACGCCCACCATCCCGCACTGCAGCATGGCCACCCTCATCGGCCTCTCCATCAAAGTGAAGCTGATCCGGTCCCTCCCGGAGAGGTTCAAGGTGAGCGGCCGGAGGGGCATCGGAAGCTCCGCTCCCACCCAGAGGCTCTTCCTCCCGGGAACCTCGGGCGGGCCGGGCGCCCTTTGGATAGCCAGCCGCTCGCTGGTTCATTCAGAAAGCTCAGCTTTACCGCCGGTTTTCCTGCCTCGTGTTTGCCTCAAACTCTAAATCAACGGTTGAGACCGGGGTCGCCAACCTTTTGAACCTCAGGGACCACCAATCTCATAATTTTAAATCCCGCGGACCAGAGACGCTGAAAAAAGTCTGCAGGAAAATTCCCTACCCCGTATTCCTACCCATCAATCCTTTCTCTTTGGGATCGCAGGATACCGTCTCCAGCTTCATTTTTGTGGGTGGGGGTGGGGTAGGGGAGACTTTTGGCTTCATGCAAGGGAAGCAGCAGGAGCAGCAGAAGTTTTTCTTTCTCTCCCCCCAACTCAGCCAGAAATGAGTTTTTGCCGCAGCAGCCTCTTGGAGCAGGAGGCCTTGCAGGGTCCCAAAGACTCATTTCTGGCGGAGTTTGGGGGAGAGAAAGAAAGTCTTTTGCTGTTTTCTTTGCATGAAGCCAAAGGCAGAAGAAGAAAGAAGTGGAAAGAAGCAAGCCAGTGGCCAGGCCAGGCACGTGGGGCGAGTGGGGCAAGTTCCCCCCTCCACCCTTTTCCCCCTCCCCTCACTACGTCATGTTCGCAATGCAAGCAACGCAAGCCTTGTGTTCCCACGGGCCATGTGGGTGGCGCAGCCTTGTGTTCCCATGCAGCCTGGATTAATTGCTTGGGGGGGGGGGCATTTCTCTGAGGAGCTCCAAAAAATTTTCGTGGATGACTAGTAGTCCCCAGCCCACTGGTTGGCGACCATTGGTTTAGGTGAGGGGTCCCCAAACTTGGTAACTTTAAGACGTGTGGACTTCAGCTATGCTGGCTGGAGAATTTGGGAGTTGAAGCCCACACGTCTTAAAGTTGCCACGTTTGGGGACCCCTGGTTTAGACTTAAGAAGAGTCTGACAGCAAGAAATCGGGTACTTTTTATTTGCATCTTCCCAGCTCCCTCAACTTGTTGCTTTTTTTATTGGTAGTCTAAGGCAGGGATCTGAAAGCTCTGTGTAGGATCTTCATGTGATCCTTGATTATCTAGCAAAAGAAGCAAACACCCTGTAGCAGCCTGTTTTGCCAAGGGGTGGTGTGTATAAGTCAAAAAGTTTCTAAGGTGCAAGTCACCTTCCCTCCTACAACCACTTTATTATACAGCCGCTAAACGCGTGTGTACGTACATCCACACAGATGCCTTGGGGTGGCTTACAAATAATAAAAAACCCACACCCATTAAAAAGGAAAAATACACTTAGCTTATCTAATGACATCATTAAAAATCATAACATTCGTAACTGAGGTAATCATGTTTGTCAATAATTAGTGCGGTTTCTGTGCCAGCTTTGCCACATTTCCTGGTTCCTATTGGCAAAGCCATGTTTTCAAGATCTTGTCAAAGTCCAGCAGAGTTGGACCAATTCTAATCCCTGGTGGAATGATGTTCCAAAGGATGGGCAAATCCTTTTCAGAGGTAGCCCCGTTGTAGAGTGACTAAAGCATAACTACCGTGAGCAGGTTGAGGAATGAACAGAATTGGCACACAACACACTTGCTGCCACCTGTTCTTTGACCAGAAGGACCTCCAGATTGTGCCCAGATCCCATTTGGGGTACTGCAACTCCATCCGGAACAAGAGATGGAAAGTCTCAGAACCAGGGAGCCCAACACTCAGCCTCTCTCGGGCTGAGCTGAGCCTGCCATTCCCCATTCAAACCCTGACAGTCTCCAAGCACTGAGACACAAAGAACCTCCAAGCATCACTTAACTGTATATCATCAGCACAGTGAGGATAACTCACCCCATGCCATTAGGGGATGGACACACACGCACACACACTCACAGCTTTATGTAGAGAGGAGAAAGGGTCCTTACAGAGCAGAGGCTGAGAGCCGAACCTTTCCCTTCCTATCAACGCCAACTGGAACTGGTCCAGGAGGAAGGAAGAGCCAGCAGAAGGCAGTGCTCCTTACTCCTGGAACCAGACCAGAAGGATGCTGTGGCTAATGCTGTTGAAAGCAGCTGAATGTCAAGAAAAGCGAGGAGGGGCACACTACCCCCATCTGCAATGCAGTGCCCCCCACCCACCCTTTCTATTGGGACTTTCCTTCTGGATAAATCCTAACTTCCATTGCAGTGTCCCAACTGAAAGTACCAAATCCCTGCCAAATTTCAGTGGTGCCCATCACGTTTTGGTCATCTTCGTGGATTGGGATCCCTGCTTATTTTCTATATCTGCTGCATTAGAATAGCCAAGATTTTAAGTGATGCCATCTCCAGGCTTCTGTGTTCGCTGCTTTGCGTTTCTTCCTTTCGATGGTAGGGGGCGGAGGTTCTTTTTTTGTCCTAAGTCCTTGGTGGCCACTCTTGATTTTGCCATTTCCTCTCTTTGGTTCTTTCGTTCTTGCCTTCCAAGATACAAGCCAAACTTTCCTTTCCAGTTTTAAGACATATCCCATTTTTCCACCATGAGAACATGGGCCATTTTGTAGAATCGAGCCCCTTCTCAATCCCACCACTTGCATATCTGTTAGTTAAGTTCCAGGATCCTCCTTCCTTGCACAAAAATCCTCAGCTGGAACAATTCATGAGTAAATTCTTTTCCAGCCCCTCATAATCTTAGTACATTATTTTAAGATCCCTTCTAGCTATGTAATTTGTCTTGCATGGGTCATGAGAAAAGGAAGGTTATTGGTGGCTTTGAATAGTCATGTGCCATTTAAGGGCACCTGCAAGACTATACACCTCCAATGACGTCACCTTTGGTTTCCACACAGCCCCTCAGTTTATCTCAGCTGGGAATCATCCATCGCTATGATTTGCCCTTTTTCTCAGGGTGGCTGTTGGGCTTCTTAGATCCATGGGGGTCCAAGCATCTTCCATAATGTTACATGCAACCTTGTTCGGGTAGCTGCATCCAGAAAGCCTGGTGGCAATTCTTGGTTTCTGTTGACACTGATTTTGTTATTTGGCAAAAGGAAGGCACTCCCAGAATGGTCTGGGAAATAAAGATGCTAAATGCACGCTTACAATCTAGAAGACAAGAGAAGCAGACAGATTTTTTTTGGGGGGGGGGGGGGGGTTAATTCAGTTTCTCCAATAATTAAAATATATACATTCTAATTTGATGACATTTATGTTTGCAATATCTAGTTTCAGATTAGGCCAACTTATTCTATTTTGCTTTCTGTTCAAAAATCAACTTTAATTGGCATTTTGTGTCTCGGGGAATACTGCTCAATTTATCCACAAAGGCCCTTCAGGTCACCCGGAGAAATAGGTTCTTTGTGGAGGTGCTTTTTCCCTCTTCCCTATCCTATTTCCTCTAGCCCTTGCCTCTACCCCCCCCTCCCCAAGGAGAACTGAATGAAGCTGAGCCCTGGGTAATACGTGACCTGAAAAATCAGAAATGTTTTTTTCTGAAAAATTAAAACAAAGGGAGTTATTGCAATGAAGGGGTTGCTGCATCCCTTTCAGGAGAATATGCAAACTGAGCGAGGGATTCTGTAGTGCTCTCTGGGCTCGGTCGCTTTTTTGCAGACATTTCATGACCAAACTAGGTATCATCAATGCTCTGAATAATTTGAACTGCTGCCTCCTTTTCAGGTGGATGTCCACATAACCCCCGGGACACACGCTTCTGAGCATGCAGGTAATCTTTTGTTTTTATGTTTCATATTCAACACGCATCTTGACAAGGTTGCATTGAGGATGCTTAGTTACCTGGATGCAAAGCAGAAAAGGTGCTTCAAAGAAAATTCAGATGAAAATTTTACTGCCCATTAAATAAGGTGCTTTTTTCTCCCCCCACCCCCTCCTGAACCGTCACCCGCTGCTGACAGGACAGATTCATTTCCAAGAGGTGTTTCAGATTCTTGGTTCTTTAGAAATGCCCATTTAATTATCTCAAACACTTTAATATAAATCTGTTTTAATTTATGTTCTACCTTTATTTGGATCTTTTTTTTTTTTTTTTGCAAAAATAAGAGTCATATATTTGAGTTTCTCTGAGGCAAAATGCACACATTTGTACTGTTCAAATGTTAAATATAAGTTGGTAAACATAATTTTGCTGGTTGTGGGGGAAATGGGGAGCTCATATCTTAGCTGGGCAACAATCTAACTAAAACTATATCTGGACTGTTTTTCCACAGTGAACAAGCAACTTGCTGACAAAGAGAGAGTAGCGGCTGCCTTAGAGAACATGCACTTGCTCCAGGTGGTGAACCAGTGCTTGTCAGGACGATCTTAGTCTCTGTGTGTGTGTGTGTGTGTGTGAGAGAGAGAGAGAGAGAGAGAGCATCTTCAAGGTCTGGTGGAGGCCAGTTTCTTGGAGAAAGAAGATCATTTACTTGTCCTCTATCTACGTTGGAGTAAAAAAAAAATGTTCCTTGGCAAAAAGCCATTTAATTTTTTTCAAGAGTTGGCGATAAATGTGGTTTTGAAATATGCTATTTGAATAGAGGAAAGTGCTTGTAATAACCAACAGAAGCCTTATACCTTCCTAGTCAAATAGGTCTATTTTTGAAAACCTCCAGTGATGGAGCCCCCACTACCCCGGGAGACAAACTATTCCATTAATTGTTCTCACTGTCAGTAAATTTATCCCAGGTTGGATCTCCCTTTAACAAGGTTCCACCTATTACCACTTATCCTGCCCTCAGATGCTTTGGAGATCCTCTCTTCTCTGAGGCAGCCCCCCAGGTACCAGAGGACAGCTATCATCTCCCGCTAATCCTTATCATGTTTGATAGGCTAGACATACCTCTCTCCCTCAACCATTCATCATACAATCTAGCCTGTTACCAAGTTGAAGGTTTAACGTGGTTTGAATATGTTTCTTATTCAAAAGGCCTGTCATGTCCTGGGAGGCCTTCAGCCTTTTGGGGCTGACAGGCCAATCTGGATTCTGCTCAATGCCCTGGTGCTGCCAGGCCTCAAGGCCGCTTGCCCAAATGTGTGGCCCAATAAACCTGAGCATGGCACAGAACTGGGGAAACGGTTCCTAGAAACTGTTCCTTAGCATTAAGGATCCAGCCACCTTGTGGCCAAATTCACACAACACTTTGTAAAACACAGCCAGTCTGTCAAAAGAAATCTGGTGCAGCTTCACACAATAGTCTGGATCTCCCAACGTGCTAAAGCATCCACCATTCTGCCTTCATCTGGGTATGCAGACGAACAAGGCTGGACCATCTGCATACCCAGCGCTTGCTTTGGCCTCCTTTTTTCCTCAAAACCAGCTCCTTCCCCCTCCTCTCCTGCCTACTTGCCTCCCCGGAGGGTTCCTGTGGCTTCCTGTTGCTCTTGGCAGCATCCCTCCCCCACCCTCTCCTTTCTCTTCCACTGGGGGGGGGGGGGCATTGTTCCTTCCTGGGGTCTGGAACAGCTCATCCCTTCATCTCGACTCTGCTCCAGAGCTCCAACTTAAGAGGGTGGGTCACCCTAGAAAAGTGTGGGCCGGTGGAATAAAGGCAAACAGCACATATCCAGAGGCCATCTACATATTTGCAAAATGTGTCTCATGCACACGTGCACACACACACACACACAGAGAACCCAAATTGTATCTCTACAAAAGGTAAACTAACTAAAAAAAATTTGAAACAAAGAGCTAGAGAAAAAAGCAAATGGACCTAGAGACAGGTATAGCCACTTTGAGATTCAAACAGCAAAATGAGAAAACCCAATTAAAGGAAGAAGCTTGCAACCAAATTGGACACAGTCAGGAACAATTAACCTAGCACAGAAAATGAACCTTTAGAGATAGACAAATGGCAAACCTGTCACTGATAGAAGAGGAAAAAAACCCAATTCAGTCTAGTCCAGGCCCGCTGGAACTAAACATCAATTTCATAATTGGAAGAAAGAAAGCAAACACCTAGAGAAGGAACATCATTGATTATAGCAATTATAGAAAAAAATAGACTTCTTTAAGAAAAAATAGACATATGTTGGTGATACGAGACTCAATGCTCAGGGAAGCTGAACCAGACCAATCAATCTAACTAGGGAAATTTGCTGTCACCCAAAGATCTATGATGCGATTGAGAGGCTTATAAGATAACTAAGTCCACAGATTACTACCCCTTTCTCCTCTTTCATGTGGGGATGAGTGATACAACAAAGGCAATATCAATAGACTAGGAGCACCTAGGCATGAAAGTCGAAGCGATAGGGACAGTGGTGGTGTTTTCTTGTGTGCTCCCAGTGAAACGTAAACATTCAGTGAGGGAAGGCAGAACTTTTGAAGTAAACACCTGGCTTAAGAGATGGTATTGATGTGAAAACTTTCTATTCTTAGTTCATGGTCTACAACACCTACATGAAGGGCTTTTAGCAGGGGACAGGCTACACCTCACAATAATCTGGAAGACTATCTTTGGAAACCAACTGACTTGCCCTACCCCAAGGATTTTAAACTAAAACTGGAAGAGGGTGGAGACAAACTTGTAGAAGTTAATTCCAAGCGTAAAATGCAGGACAACTAACCAAATGGTAAGACAAAGGGGGAACTCAAATACAAAACAGAAGATTTCAGAAACCAACACTGTGGGTCAAAGGACAGCAGAGAGAAAGTGGAACTGCTTAATTCATTATTTTCATCAGATTCTGACAAAAGGAAAAAAAGTAACCCAATCTATCAAAAGCAGAACTGCAAAAAGTGGACTAGGAATCCAAGTCAAAATAGGCAAGAAAATATTAATACAGCACCCATCCATCCTAGACAAATTCAAATGGGTGACGTCCCAGAGTTCTGAAGAAGCTGACAGACATGATCTCAGAACCATTGAACCATACATTTCACAGATCCTGGAGCACCAGGGAACAACCAGAGGACTGAAAAAATGCTAGTGTGGTTCCCATCTTCAAAAAAAGAGAAAAAAATGGATCCAGGAAACTACAGTCCAATCAGTCTGATTTCAATACCTGGGAAGATCCTGGAAAAGGTAATCAAGCAATGGACCTGTGAATAGTTAGAAGTAAGCAAAGCTATTACTTGAAGCCAACATCAGTTTGTCAAAACAGATCATGCCAAACAAATTTCATTTCATTCTTTGGGAAAGTGACTAAATTAATGGACCAACGAAAGGCTTTGGAAATGCTTGGGCTTTAGTAAGGCATTTGGTAAAGTAGGCAGCAATCTATTTCTTGATGAGATAGAAAATGTGGAATGAACAGTACCACAAGATTATGTTGAAAGACATAAACACTGGGCTCTAGCTAACAAAATGCAATTCAGTAGTGTGAAAACTAAGATTTTACACTTGGGCAAGAAAAAGTGCACAGGTATATAGTAGGTAGAACCTGGCTCAACAGCAGTAACGGTGAGGGATGTTGGAGTCCTAGTGGATGACCACTTAAGAATAAGCCAGCAGTGTGCCACAATTGTCAAGAAAGCCAATGCAGTTCTAGGCTGCATCAACAGGGATCAAAAGTCACTTGAAATGGGAATACCCTATATACTAGCTTGGTAAGACCACACTTGGAATGCTGCATCCACTTCCGGTCACCACAATATTAAAAAGATGTTGAGACTCTAGAAACCGTGCAGAAAAGAACAAAGAGGGTTAGGTGGCTGGAGGTAAATGGGATTAGGGGTGACAGCAGTGTTTCAGTCTTCAAGGGGCTCTCACAAAGATGGAGGCGGCAGACTATTCATCAAGACAAGAAGTAATGGGTGGAAGACCATTAAAGAGAGATCCAACCCAGAATGAAAGAGAAATTTCCTGACAGTGAAAACAATTAACCAGCGAAGGGCTCCCCTGCAGAAATTGTGGGTGCTCCATCTCTGGAAGTTTTTAAGAGACTGGACAGCCATTTGTCTGAAACGGTCCAGGGTCTCCTGTATTCTGTACATTCAGCAAGGAAGCCTTCAGGAACTAATAAACCCCTTCAAAAGGGGTTCAATTAAATCTCATTTAATATATTTAGTCCTTCATTTCCTGTGTTTCAAAATAGAATACATCTGCCAATAAACTTTCTTTGGATAATTGCTTTGTCAAAATTGTAATGCTGCAGTGTTACTATATTGGAGGGATGCTATAGTTAGTTCTGCCTGCCAAGGAAGGTGTATATTGACTTAAGGTTGTAAAACCTCTCGGTTCCAAGGCCGATTCAGCGTGTTCAGCCTGGAATAAACAAAATGCAACAAAGTCGTGCAAGTGGCTGCCTTCAAAAGCCTTTCCGAAAGCTGATGTCAAATTGAATTCTTAATATGACAAAAGAGGAAAATTATATGCATCAGATAATTATATTCAATTGGTTTAGTTGCAACTAAATTTAAAACAAGATTTTGTTTGTTCCCATCTGACTTTTTATTTATTTACATTTGATATGACCCCAAGACCTTAAAGGCCAAGTCATCTGAAAACAGTCTGAACACTCTAGTTCATTCTGCAAGGTGCATTAGCTGTGTCGATGTGACAGCCTGGGAGTTTGCCTGACCAGTCCCAGCCACCCCATTATAGTCCTTGCTGGGCATAAGGTCATCAGGTTATTGAAGGCTGCTTGGGAAGGGCAAGCTGTTTCCTCCAGCAACAGGAAGAAGAGGCAGGAAAACCACCCACCCACCCTCGGGTTGCAAAATGAAAGAAGATCCTGCTCTTAAGAGCCCCAGCAGGACAGACTCTGGCTTCAAAATCCTTTTCTGCTCCAGGGAGCCTCAGAACTGCTCCCCTACTAAAGCCAAGAACTTGCCTTAAGATAGGGAAGCTTTCAAGGAACTGCACTGATTTATTATAATGGCCCGTTTCTAGGGAAAACCCTTGCCGTTCCCCCACCCACCTCCCCACCATGAGTGCCAAGTGGCTTATCAGTCTGACTGCAGCCCAACCTCCTCCTGTTTTTGGACCCAAATATGTTTGGCTTTGCTTAAAAGATTTAACTTAAACTAGCAGAAGAAATAAGGACAGCTATTCAGTGTCTTATGTTTGGGAGAAAGGCCAGGGAGAGTTGGTTAGTTGTGGTTTGGAAGGCAAGATTGTTTTTGCTATTGAAATATTGTCCAGGCCTAGACGCCAAGGCCTTTGGCCTAAGATCCTGGCTGGAAACCAGCCCTGGGCAGACTTCAGTTCTGCATGCTCTTCCGTGCATTTTCTAGAGTCCACAAGCCCACCGAGGGCAAACAGATGCTATCAGGTGGCAGTAGGACAGGTGTGCTGAGGATTAAGGTGCAAATGTGGAGATGAACGGGCGAGGGAGGCTTTTCGTTGCTCTTGTAAAACTATTTGAAGTCTGAAATTCTTGGGATCTGTTGTGATTTATTCAGAAAATAACCAGCTTCTTTGCAGGCTTCCTTTAGCCACCTGTGGCCTTTGTCAAGCACAACCAGGCCAGAATGAAAGTTCCACTCAATTACAAATATAATTTCAAACACTTAGAGAATAAGGAATGTCAAAGCCATGCTAAAGAACTTCTGCACCTGCCCTTAAGCAGCATTTTTAAAAACCTTTTCTGGCCACCTGGAGATCACTCTCAGTTGGCTCAACTGGAGAACCCCGGAAATATTGGCTAGGGATATTTTAGCAGGTTCCAAACCATCTATACTAACCTGTCCACAGAAGAAAGGCATAATCCAGACATCGACCTTTGTCAATCGGCTTAAGAACATCTCTGGACGAGAACAAACTTCCACGAGAGGTAGCTGAATTCTCTCTTAGGACACTCAAAAGATTGCTCTGATTGCTTCACTTCAGTCAAAAACCAGACACCCCCAATAAATAGAATAAATAGAACACATGAGCCACTGATTTGTTTTCAGCAGACCAAAGTCCAACAAAATTCTCCTTTGGGACTTCAGGCACCTGAATGAGAGAGAGAGCACAGCCTGTCTGGCAGAGCGGCAGGCAGCAAGTTCACTCCGGCATCAGCTGTTCCAGCTCCTCATCATTGAGACAATTGGTGGCAACTATGTGGTTGAGCTGCTGCATATACCGTTCAAGGTCTTGCATGAAGTGGGGGATTCGGGCTTTCTCCAGCACCCCGTATTTCTTCAGATGGTCCACATCTTCATAAGAGACCTGAACGGAGGACATTTGCATGTTAGTTCATCGACTTGTTTTAAATCGTTTCAATGCTGACAGCGTAGTTGGCTACCCAGACCAGTGCAGGGAGCAGGGCCAGGCACTGGTTATCGGCCAACCGAGCCATGGGACTCTCCCAAAGCCATTCACTGGAGAAAAAGGCATACATAAATCCTAGGTATGAACTGTCCTGGATTTTTAAGCATGCTGCCTTCCAGTCACACTGGGTTTTGCCTCAAACCTGGTAACTCGTGTGGTCCTTTGGGCCAGCTTTTAAAAGAAATACGGCTGCTAAACTTAGGGGGACTTTATGAGCGGTTTGTTAAAGTTGGGTCCCATGCAAACACTGTTTTCCAAGGTGTAAATGATAATTGAATGATAAAAACAGACCCCTGGGGAGAAATATTTCTCAGAGAATGCTAATCCTTGCTCAGTTGGTGTGAACATCACTTAAATCCAAGCTTGCACGAGGCAATGTAGCTTTTTGGGCGGGGTGGGGTGGTGGTGGGGGGAACCCAAAGCAAAAGTCTCCACGATGGTGAAATGGGGGATCCAAGATTCCTCCCCCCCCCCCGGTCTCTGCTGGGAGGGCTGTGCCAGAGCCCAAAGCAAGTGGCCTCCCTCCACCTACCTTGCCCAGGGCAGCCAGCAACTGGAAATCAATTGTTTGTCGATGCCGGAGGATCTGGAGGATTCCTTCCAGGTATACCTGGTCTTTGCTGAAGCAGCCTGCAGAGGAAGCAGCAGCAGCAGCCGGTCGATCCTAAGTGCCTGAGCCAAACCCTGGCTTCCATTTCAGAGCCCCCTCCCCTACCCCCCTTGCCTGGCACCACAGAGATCCGGCCAAGGGGAGCTTTTTGTAACGGGCTCTGTGCCGGCGGCCCCTGGACAAGGTGACTGGGGGGTCCTTTGGGGCTTTTAAGGGGGCTGGGAGGGAAGGTTTCTACAGCAAATCTCTTGCTTGCGCTGTGACTGTCAGCATCCTTCTGGCCCCACGCTTTTGGAAACCCGTGAGGGGAGGGGGGCCTTGAGGGGGGAGGGGCTGCTGCTGAAGCCCCCCAAACCTCCTGAATGCCAATTAGGTTTAAAAAATGCCTCCAAAGCCAAATGGCTACAGGGACTGTTGCCAAGGAGGGTCAGAAATTGGGATGGGGGGCAGGGGAGAGAGATGGTCATACAGGCCTTTCACCCCAGAATGGAGGCAGGCAGGCAGGCAGGCAGGTGCTTCCCTGCACTCTCTCCCAGGGATCCACTGGCTAGAAAGGCAGAAGGGGAGGCCCAGGGGAGACCACCTGCCCCCTGGCCGTCAGGAGGACCAGAAAGGTTCAAGGATGGCCGTTTTTGTAACACCTCCCCCCCCCCACCTGGCAATGAGGTGTCGGCCTGGCCTCGCTTGGCTCGCACACAGTACTCCCACCGGACCCCGGCATCCTGCACGTAGCGCCCCAGGTCCTGGAAGAGTTCGCAGAAGGACAGGCGCCCAGCCTGGCAGACGGTGTAGTAGAGGAGGGCGGCCCTCCAAAGGAAAGGCTGCTTGCGGAAGAGGACGCTGTGCAGGCTGGCCAGTCCTTCCTCTGTGGGGTTGGCAGGCTTCAGGCTGTATTGCTTGCGGCCTTCTGAGCTGTGCCAGGGCTGGGAGGCATTGTTGACTCCGCGGATGTAGTGGGTGCCTAGGAAAGAGGGTGCGGCTTATTCCAGCAACAGCCTGTGAAAATATCTACAGACCCCTCACATCCCAGACATAAACTGTTTCCACTCCTTCCCTCAAAACGACACTATGGAGCCCTGCACACCAGAACAACTGAACACAAGGACTCTCCCCCGAAAGCCATCCCTCTGCTAAACAAATAATTCCCTCAACACTGTCCAACTATTTACAAAGTCTGCACTACTATTACTCTTAATCTTCTCATCACTCCTTATCACCCATCCCCTTGCACTTGTGACTGAATGACTGTAACTTTGTCACTTATATCCTTAGGATTTATATTGACTGTTTCCTGGTATAATTTGATTGCTTATTGTACCCTATGACTATCATTAAGTGTTGTACGTTATGATTCTTGACTCTTGACAAATGTAGCTTTTATGTACACTGAGAGAATTTACACCAAGACAAATTCCTTGTGTGTCCAATCACACTTGGCCAATAAAAGAATTCTATTCTGTTCTATTTTGAAAACTGGCTTTGCTTCTATGGAACCGCCCTTCGTTTTGTTCAAGAAATTGGCGCCTGCCGGCATGGCCACCAAGGCTTGTCCACCCACCCACCCACCCCCGAGTCGATGGAGTGCGGAATTGGGCCTCCTCCCCTCAGGCCTTTCACTGGCTAGTTTAATAAAGCTCTAGGGATTCAAGTGCAGCAGGTCCCAGGCACAAAGAAATGCACTTTGGTTGAAAGATGTCCATTTTATGGTACTTATTCCTAAATAAGGACCCACAGCAACCTTAGATGGGGTTTTTGCTGCATTTGAATAATTCAGCTTTCCACAAATTAATGTCCTCCAGAAACTCTGGACTATTTACTTGGGAATATCCCCTGGTAGTATGATCAATAGACAGAAATAATCCTTAACATTTCCTGGAGAAATGATGATGAAGAAGAACAAACAGTATCAACATAGACACACGTGACTCTGGGTAGCTTACATTATTAAAATCCCACAGTATAAAAATGCCCCTCACTTCCCACACCCACCCCTGCAGCAAGCACAACCACACCCGGGGTCTCCAGCTCACTGACAGGGCCGCACCTTCAGCACCTTCCAGAAAAATATCAAGGTAGGTGCCAATCTTATGTCTGGGGAATGGGATTCCAGGAAGAGGGAGCCACCACAGAAAAGGCCCTTCTGGGCCCCACTAGATATCCTTCCCCAATGGTACTCACACATGCCACGCCTTCCTGCTTTGATCAGCTGGGGAGAGGTGGTCCTTCAAATAACCTGACCCCAAGCCATTTAGGGCGTTGAGGGTAATAACCAGCCTCTTGAATTGCACCCAGACCACAAATCAGTAACCAGCTCTAGCAAAAAAAGGTGACGCGCAAATTGAGATTTCGAACTGTATGGCCCATTGCCCTTTTCACCAACTGAAGCTTCCACATGCTCTTCAGGGAAAGCCCCATGTAAAGCGTGTTACAGCAGTCCAAACGGGAGATGGCCGGAGATAGCTGACAGCGAGGAGGGCAGGTTGGTCCAGACAAGGGCGTAAGTGGTGCACAATCAGCAATTCTCTATTTGGGAAGGATCTCGGCTCATGTAATTATCAATGGAATTCTTTTATCAATAATTAAAAAGCAATTTGGGAAGTTGCCATGGTCATTCTTCCTTTCTGATTTTCCATCTGGTAACAGGTCTAATAAAGACAAATTCATGAGATTAAAGGAAATCTCACCAAATTTAACTGATTTTGAGGGCAAGATTCTGTTATATGGAAACGCTAGCGTTTATCCTATTATGATCAACTCTACCTCAATGCGTAGAAGTGGTACAGTTATACAGTAAATATTATGGGAATTCAATAAATATAATCCCAATTGGTTAGAAGGTTCTAAAGATGTATTAAAAAGTTAAGATTTGTATATTATCCAGAAGCTGTTCAGTAGCTAGGATTACTATCTGCAAGAAAAAATAGTGTACTAAGAACATTTCAAAAAAAAAAGAGAATACGTAGATGAAACTGTAGGTTTGCGGGAAAGAACTAATGTTGTGAAAACGAATTTTGCATCAAGACTGAAAAATATTTAGACACCAATGCCAATGTTAATTCCACTTCAATACTTAAATAAATTGATCTTTTAATGGTTAAATATCCAGGATCTCCTAGTTAATGTCTCATACTATGATGATAGTTTTATTTTTTAAAGTATTACTGAAGGCCTTACTGTTAACCTAAATAATATGGAATGGAAACAATATGGACACTTTGGGCTCACCAGTTATGCACTCCTAACAAGAGCTATGAATTCTGGGAAACCCCCAGGCTGCCCTCTTGAATGGGAAATGCTACCCCATCCATGATGAAGGGTGGAACCTCCCCAATCCTGGAAACACCCAGGACTGAGTTAGAGACAGTTGTTCCCATCCACACCTGCGCAAGGCACTGGGAAGGAGTCTTGATTGGCCGGCCCAAGACTGAAAGATATAATGAGGTGTGGAGAAGCTGCAGCACCCCACAATGGAGAGGCTGAGGGAACCACCTCTGCCCAAAAACAAAACAGGTCCCGGAGAAAAGAACAGAACTCCATAAAACAGGGTCTTGTCCCCCCCACCAGCTCAGGTAGCCAATTCAGAAGGACATGAGTGCTGGAGGTATTAAAAAGAGAGCAAAGGGAACACGGACAGATGCACCCAAGGTCATCTACAAGCTCCACCAAGGCTGTCTCATTACTTCATCACGGTCCGAAACATGACTGAAGTGTCCCGTCCAGTTTCCAGGGGCAGCCACAAGGTGGACCGTGAAAGCAGGACGACCACAGATGACTTTCTACTGCTCGTCCCAGAGCTAGCCAGGGGCCACTCATCAGCTGCCTTTTACTTTTAAAAGTCTTAATCTCTAATTCATTCAAATATTTGATTTAATTTCTCTTTTTTTTTTGTCCCATCACAGAGTCATTCTCTTGGTTGGTCATTCGTTTTTTCCTTTTCCTTTTTGAAAACTCCACCAGTTTCTTTTGTGAGTTCAGTGAAACATCCTTTTCTATATTGTATTCTTGGCTTGTCAGGTGTAAACCTATTTTTGATACCATCTCTATCTTGTCAGGTAAAATTTGTTCTACACCTGTCCTTTCCTTAATATTTTTGGACACAGTCTATATCCGTGATGGCGAACATATGGCACCATGCCAGAAGTGGCACGCAGAGCAGTGGTAGTATTCTACCGGTTTGGCCCGGTTCTTGCGTTCCGGAAGTGCCAAAGAGCAGCAGACACCAAAAGGGTTCTCTAAGACGCTCCCTCAGCCTCTCCACTGTAGGGTGCTGCAGCTTCTCCACAACTGCATGAAACAATAGGCTGATGGGCTCCCAGGCTGACCTTTATGACCAGCTTTTGAAATGCAGCTGCTTTGCGCGGCACAGCCGATTGCTGCACGTCAGCTGCTGAAGTGACTGGGAGAGTGCAGGAGTGCAGGTGAGTCGTAAAGCCTCTGTGCCTGCGCAAAGTGTGCGTTTGGCATGTGCGCAAAGTGTGTGTGTGTGCGTGTGTACTAAGCACGCCCACACCACACCCACCAAACCAGTGAGAAACTTTTTTGAAGCATGCCACAGATGCAGAGACATCTCTCCAGGCATGTCAGCCATCACCCGTTGCTCTTCCGGGTCCTGGTGTGCACATGTGTGCCAGCCAGCTGGTCTTCGCGCACGCAGAAACGCCTGAAGCCAGAAGAGCAGCTCCCTGGCCCGCACAGGCATGCTGGGAAGCTGAGCTTCCGCTTTCTGGCACGTGCATGCAGGCTGGGCAGCTGCTCTATCGGTTTCCGGTGCTCCCTCATGCATGCATGCATGCTCCTGTTTTGGCAGAAAAGATTTGCCAACACTGATATATAATAATATATTATGATATAATAATATCATCTTTTGGACACAGTTATAGAAGTAGATATAAGTACCTACATGGTTGATATCGTGGCTATTATTTTGTGATTCTTTTCTTCAAAAGTCTCTCCTTCAGTGTTTTCATTGTGAGAACGTTTTCCAAATGCTTCCTCTGCCTAAAGTGTTGAGTCCCATCCAGTGTTCAGTTTTTGAAATTAGGAAATTGCTCATCTTTGTTTTGTCTTGTAAAAGCCAAAACAGGATCTATTTCACACAAGAAGCTGTTCCTTCTATTTAATTAATTCCAAAAACCTATCATAAAAGTGCCAATATTCCAATTTCATCTGGACTCTTAGAGGGTGATGGTGGATGAGCATCAGAGGGAAAACGGGTGTATTTTTGTTTGTTCTCTACTGTGTTGACTCAAGAGAGTCAAAGAATTGCACTGGAAACGGGCCGGTCACAGAGCAAGGACGACTGATGGCAGGTGGACCGAGGCAGTCACAGAATGGATCCTGCTTGATAAAAAAAAAAGCCTCCAAGAAAGAGACCTGAAACAAGATGGAGCGACGACGTCAGCAAAGTATAGGTAGTCCTCAAGTTACAACCCCAACATTTATGTCGGTAAGTGAAATGTTTGTTGTGAGTTTTGCCCCATTTCACGACCTTTCTTGCCCTGTTGTTAAGTGAGTAAACTCCAATTGGTAAGAGTAACCCAGTTGTTAAGTGAACCTGGCTTCTCCATTGACCTCGCTTGTTGGAAGGGTGCAAAGGGCATCATGTGACCCCAGGACCCAGAAACAGTCATAAATAGGAACCAGCTACCAAGCACCTGAATTTGGATCACACGATTGTGGGGCTGCTGCAAAGGTCACAACTGTGAAAAAAGGTTGTAAATGTTGTGGTTCCCCGGCAGCAGGTGCCAATGGCTGAAGTCTCGGAGTGCGAGGACTCCGATGAGGGGCCTGCGTGTGACGCAGGGATGGGGCCAGGACCATCGGGGAGTGGAGCGCTGCCTTTGGGGATTGTGGAGGCTGGCAGCAGTGAGGAAGAGGATCCCGAGGAGCCTGTGCCCAGTGCGTGTGTGCAGGGCTGCTTGAAGGAAAGAGCAGCTGCAGAAGCACGGGAGACTCGGGAGTAAGGTTGCGAGGTGATGGTCCCTCCCTTAAGGGATAAAAGCCAGCCTGAGAGACCGGGATTCTTTTCAGGAAGCAAAAAAGTTCTTTGCATTCAAGCCTAGTGGATGTTCAGAGTATCTTGGTTGGTGTTTGGAGACTCTTTATGTTTGAAATATTTCTTAGTAATTTTATCTCATGTTCTTGGCAGCCTTGCACCACCTTGGCAAGGCTCATTCTTATCAGAGACAATTAGTTTGAAACAGCCTTTTAACCCGGAAGGAACGGAATTCGCAAAGAAGCCTTACAAGGTTTTGCTGTTACCTCTGTTTGTGTTTGTTTCCTTGGAACAAGGTTTGGGTCAGAACAGTAAGTCAGATTCTTCAGTGCCGTTGTAACTTTGAAAGGTCACTAAATGAACTGTTGCAAGTCGAGGATTGTCTGTATTGCGGGCCCAACTGGCAAAGGGAAGCTCAAGGTTGTATGGATTGGGAACCACGCGGAAGAGGCCGTCGCCCTGCAGTGGACGGACAAGGCCTTGAATGGTGATAACGAGTCCTCAACTTACAACCTTTCCTTGGCTGTTCGAAGTTACAATGGCACTGAAAAAAGGGACTTACAACCGTTTCTCACACTTATGGCCGTTGCAGCATCCCCAGGGCCATGGGATCAAAATTCAGTCGGTTGGCAACTGACCCATATTTACGACGGTCGCAGCGTCCCAGGGTCGTGTGATCAACTTTTGCAACCTTCTGACAAGCAAAGGCAATGGGGAAGTCAGACTCACTTTAACAACCCGTATGACTGACTTAACAACTGCAGCCCTTCAGTCGTTAATAACTGATTCAGAGTTAACAACCGTGGCAAGAAAATGGGCAAAACAGACAAAATTCACTCAACAATCAAGTTACTCAGTCACAGAAATGTGAAGCTTAATTGTGGCCATAAACGTTGAGGACTATCACTGTGTTGCCAGAACCTCCCTACAAAATATAAACCAAACTTGGGAGTTTTTACGCTGCAGCTGGACTAACCAGCTGCAAGTTGGCCCAACCTCGAGTTGCGGCTTTGCTTTCCTTGGGAGTTTCTTTAAACCCGGAACTTCAGCCAGTGCAGAAAAAGGGGAAAGCCTCCGTGCCCCCCTCGTCTCACCAAGGCCAACGTGTTTTATGAATTTCCAAAGGACCTAAGTTCCCTTTTAAGGCACCTGACAAAAGTGGGAAAGATCTTTCAGGGCTGACCTATCTCATGGCGCAACATGCCTTCCAGCCAGTTCTGACGCGCTCCAGAGAGGTTGATTGCTAACGTCGGGCGGCTGTTTTCCACCATCATGACCGCCTGGGAAAGGAGGTCCTCTGTGAGCTGAACCACCACCTGGAAAAAAGAAGCAGAAGGAAGACAATGGAGACCGGGAATCTCAGGGTGGTTCCCTTTGGAGCAGAACCCCAGAACTCACCTCTCCAGAGCAGCCTTCCTTCTGCATATACTTCCTGGTGATGGACCAGATTTGGCATTTGGTAAGCAGCTTTCCACCGTTGGAGGCCTCAAAGCTCTCGTAAGTGCCATATTTCTGAAGGACAGCATTGATTATTCCAGTAGCCTGCAACAGATAAACGAAGTGGACATCAAAAGGTTTTGTTCTGGTCTGGGGTGCAATTAAGGCTGCACCGAACATCCAGGTAGCTGAGCTGAAGACTGGATTGACAAGTCTCACCGGACTAGATAAATATTGGGATGATTCAGATGGTTCTGGAATCATTCCTTATATTGGCATGTTATTTGAATCAAGTCATCACAGTAAGTAGCTGCCATTGATTATTGCACACACACCCCTTATGTTTTCTGAACAGGGAAATATAGTTTTGCTAGTCCAGGTTTAGGGTTTGGGGTGTTAAAGGAAACCAGCCGCCATTTTGCGGCATAACTATAATGCCGCCAGGGACATTATAGGGGAGAAGGTCATAAAGTATCAATATCTGAAAGCCAAGTTGGCAAACACCAGCCCTGGTAGCCCCAAGAGGTTATTGGCACAATAGGCCCCACACCAAAACCTCCTTGGAAGCCGTTCGATTTGCAGTTGCTCAGCCTTACTGCATGGCAAGTAGGATGGCATAGAAATGCTGGAGGCACCAGAGCCTCCCATTTGATCATATATTCCTTTAGCCTGCCATTTTTAAAATTCCTCTTTTGTTAAGGGAGGAAACCCAGTTACTCAAAGCAGTGTTCCTAAACTGGGAGTAATTGGGAGATATCCTGGGGCTAATGGTGCAATTTGGCTTGTGAATTGAGGATCTAATTTGTGGGGGGGGTGCGCGGAGAAGCTGCCACTACCAAGATACTTGTGTAAAATAACCATCTGGGTTGTTGTGCACGTCAGGACAAGACCAGGGAAAGACCAGGGTCAGTCAAGCCCCCGTCTTAAAAGATTTTTCAAGCATGAAAGCAGCAGATGGCATGTCCTGCCAGAGCAGGAAGTTTGAGGATTTGGAACATCAGCTCAACATCTTGGCATGAGCCAAGGAGATGCAAAACAAGGCCCAGTGGTGAGACCCCCCCTCCCCCCCTTCCTCTGGCAGGTCCTTCTGTGCTGACCACCCTGGCAGGCAGGCAGGCGCTTTGGAGGGCCCTGGGCGTGCTTGCCCCTGTTGCTCTGCCCCCAGACTGGCCCGGGGACAGTCCCACTGCTGATCCTGGGGTGCCCCTTCCAAGGCTCTGGGAAGGACACGTGGAAGGCTGCAAGGGCCCAGGCAGGCTCTGCCTCGGGCCTTCTCTCTCAGCAGGGATGGCGCAGGGAATCGTGCTGCCTGCAGGGAGATGGGCTTGATCCCCTCCAATGATCCCCTCCAAGGGTCCTCACAGCCCAGGCAGGAAACCGGGGGAGGGCTCCCTTTGGGCAAGAGCCGCACGAGCCGGCGGGAGGGAGGGAGGGAGGGAGGGAGGGGAGGCTACCTGCACCAGGAACTGCCCAGAGGCTTCTCGGTATTTTTCCAGCACGGCTTCCGGGACAGACTCCCCATATTCGAACTGGGGGTTGTAGGCAAACGAAGACCGGAAGAACTGCTCTCGCTCTGCCTCCAGGTTGGCTGGCCGTAGGGCCACCAGTAAACAGGGGCTCCTCTTCCCGGCCCGGCAGGCCCCCTCCTCGGCTCTGGCCCTGGGCAGGTGAGGGAGGGAGGCAGCGCTGCGGATCCGGCCTCGTGCCCAGTTCTTCTGGCTCACCAGGCAGCTGCTCTCGCTCCGGTGCATCCAGCTGCAAGGGCCCTGCAAGGCGAGGCAGGGGTGCAGGGCAGGGGGCCCTCCCAAGCCCCGGAGGAGTTTCGGCTGCTTGGTCCTTCTTCCGGGCCCCAAAGATTCCGACTCCGGAGGAGAGGACTGGAAGGGGCCCGGCTGCCTCCTGACACATGGAGGGCCCTCTTTCTTCCTCCCACCTCTCCCGGGTTGTGGGTCTGCGTGGAAAACCCCCGGATGCAATGGCGGAGGATAGGCCGGAGAGTCAAGCACCATCTTGCGATTGTGTAGCCGCCGGAGGCCTCAGGAAGCCAAGCCTGGGCCTGGGAGGATGCTGCAAACAGAGGGGAAAGGACTGTCTTCAGGCAGGTATTGAAGGTATTGTCTCTCCTTTGATGATAGTACTTGTGAAAGAAGATCTTGATACAGGATATGAATTGAATGCAAACTCACCCTAACCCCACATCTCACCACCACCACCCCCGAAGAAAAGTGGGGGGAACCCAACCTCAGATCTCAGGGACCTGGGCAGCCTCCCGGGGTCAAACCCCGACGCCCTGTCCATGCCCGGTGGGGAAGGGTGTGTGCAGAGGGGCAGGTGGGTCCTGGCTGCCCACCTGCTTGGAGCTGTGCTTGGCCTCAGCTATGCCAGCCGTGGCAACTTTGGGCTGCCCAGGAAGGCTGTGCTTATGCCATCACAATGATGGCCGGGGGAGGGGGTTGTGGGGAGGAGACGCAGCACCAGGACTGCAGCAACTCTGCAGTCCCCAAAGCCCCTTGCCCAGAAGATGCCCACTCACCCCAACCCTAGCTTTGCCAAGGCTTGCCTGCCCCAAGTCACTGCTTCTCGGAGGCTGAGGAGACCCACATATGCAGCCCACAATGCCCTCTGGGTGCCCCCAACCGTGGGAATGGGATGGGGGGAGTGGTTGGGGTTGGACTAAATAACAGGGAGTCCAGGTTCAAGTTGCCCATTATCTGCCAGGGAAGCTCACCTGGGCACTGGGACCAGGCAGCCTTTTGGCCTCACTTCCCTCACTTAAGGGATTGTTGGTGGGGAATTAGGGGAAGTGGGGGGGAGGTGTAGATCTAGCAAGCAGCAACAACAGCCAACCAAACTCACAGAGACCTTTAGAGATGATTCAAAACTTGCTCAATCCATATTCTGGTTTCATACAATTCACTGCCAGGTTAACTTTCATCTACTGCTAGGTCAACTGCTGCAATTTATAGGCTTCTCCGTTTCCAGAGATTCTGCGCATCTTGCAAGGCTGCCACCAGAACCTGTTAGTGCCACTATAAAGAGAAGGGTGTGGATGCTTTCTTAACGTGGCCCAAGGAGGTGAGCCGCCTGTCCTCGGTGCAGAGGGAAGCCCCTCTTTGGTACAGGGAAACGGAGCCTGGGGAGAGTCAGGCAGGTCTCCATAAAGTTAAGGGAGGACAAGGGAGTCGCACGGAGGCTGCCCACGCTCCGGAGACAAGCGCGATCCACCGGACCCTGCAAGCTCTTCACCTTCCGCCGACTCAGCGAAGGCTCAATGGTGGAAGAAGCTCGTAGCCGCCGACTCCGCCGCGAGAGGCAAAGGGTTCCGGCCAGGAGCCTCTGAGTCCTGGGAAAGGCCGCTGCTGCCTCAAGCCAGGACCCGCATCTCCCGGGACGGACTTCGGGGGAGCCCCCCGCCCCCCCCCGAACCATCTCCAGGGCCCCGTCTCCTCCCGGGCCTGCCAACCCCATCAGGCGCTCCGCGGGGGGAGGAGCTTTCCCCCCGGGGCCCAAAGGGGGTCAGCGTCGCCTCTCCGGCCTCCCCGGGGACCCCGCAGCCCCAGCCAGGCCTCTCCCGGCCACGGCCCTCGGGCGCCGCCGCATCTCATCCCGACGGCCGCGGCGCCCCCCGGACGCTCCCCCGACGCGAAGCCCGCAGGGCGGAGGCCGAGCGCTTGGACCGCGCCGGGGCGGAAGCTGCCTCGCCGTCGGGCTGGAAGGGGGCAGCAGCCGCAGGGGCCCGCCGGCCCGGAGCGGCAACGGCTGGGCTTCGCATGGCAGCCCGCAGCCCGGCACACCCACCCGCCGCTCGGCAAGGCTGCAGCGCCGCTCCCGGGCGCGGAGCCCGAGGCTGGACGGGGGGGGGAGCTGCCCACTCCCTCCGCCGCCGCCCGCCCCGCCCTCCCTGTACCCCCCCCCCGAAAGCGCCCCGCCCGCGGAAGGGCTGCCTTCCTTCGGCCGCTCCTGGAAGCGGCGCCGGGCTGAGACGAGCCTCGCCCGACCCACCTGCCCCGCCGCCGCCGCCGCCTCGCTTCAGCCCCCCGCGCCGGAGAGGGGCGCCGGCCTGGGGGCTCCTGCCGGCCCCGCCCGCGCTCCGCAGTGGGTCTCGCCCGCTCGGCCAGCGCCGGGCCGGCCGGCTCTCCCGCCCCCGGAGCATGCTCAGTTGCGCCGCCGCGCCGCGCCCGCCCGGCCCGCTGACCAGCCGCCCGGCGGCCCCGCCAAGGAGTCCGGGCGGGGCGGGGGGACAGCCGGGCGGGACCGCGACTTCGGGGGGCGACGCTGCGGGCCGGCCGGGAGAAGCAGCGGACCGGCGGGCGGGACTAGCAGACGGGCGGCGCTCGGCTGGGCTGGCCCCGGCTCCCCTGGGAGGGAGCGGCCGCGCAGGCTGGGCGCCCAGTAAAGGCAGGTCTGGGGCTTTTGCCGCCTTCGGACCCCCAGGTCCCCTTTGATGGCAAAGCGCCCAGCGGCTCTGGCGTGGCCCAAAGTCTGCCTGGTGGCCTTGGATCATATGCGAGGCTCCTGGGTGCAGGTCCCTGTAATGCCCCCCCAGCCCCTTTGCTTTCCTCGTCCTGGGGGGCGGGGGGGGGGGGCAGCTGGCATTCTTAGGCGACTCTCGCAAGCTGGGAATGCCTGGTAGCCTCTTTCTCCACACCGCTTGAGCCCATTGGGCAAGGATGGCCGGACGGCCTTCGTTCCACTGCAGATCCATCATCCTTTTCCCAGAAGCTTCTTCCGAGCCACTGACCTTTGGGGTCACCATTGCAGAGGCGACTCCTCATTCCATCCAGGAGTCACTTGAGTCAAAGGGGGGTCATTGGCTTACAGCCCATCGCCTCAAGTGATCCCCGATTGCCCCTCTGGACACCCCACCAGTGCACTGTAAACAAAGCGGATTCAATCCAGCCACCTTTCTTCCCCAACCAAGGTGGTTATTCATGATTGTGTCCAAACCATTGCTGAGGTTTTTTCTGGCTGGCTGGCTGGATGTGGGTGACCAGCCTCTTGAGGATGCAACAGAGGGCAGCAGCTTCATGTACCCAGGAGAAAGGCTAGCTGGGCACGCAGTGACCACTTTGGACCAACTATTGAAAGCAACAGCCGTCCCTGCAGGCTGAGTCACTGCCTGACAAGAGCCTCGGGGTTACAGGAAGGCACCGTGGTAAATATTTTCACAGACCGTAAATTTGCTTATGGTCTTCTATGTGTACATGGTTGTCTTGTGGGAGGAGTGAGGGAGGAGTGTGAACAGGAGGTACCCCTGTTAAATATGGACCTGAAGTATTGAGATTATTGGAAGAGGCTTTGCTTCCCAGCATGGTAGCTACTATGCATGGAAGGGCCGCAGTAAGCCTAATGATGCTAGTAAACCTGGCCAGGGAAATGTCCTGGCTGGCGGGGCTACCAAGTCTGCTGCCTCTGGTCCCCCTTCCCCTTGGTATGCCTGGGCACTCCTTCCTTCTCACCTGCTTGTTGGCTCCTTGGCAGGATAGGCACAGGGCGTATAATATGGGTGCTGTTTATCAGGGTAATTGGTAAATTGACTTCTCCCAGTACATGAACTATGGGCCCCCTTGAGGGAATTATATACAAGTAGAAACATGGGGGCTCCTAGGCTATAGGCGAATCTCTGTTGCTGCTTATTAGATTTACACCCTCCCTTCAGCATCTCCTTCCTCTAATTTCCCACCAACTATTTTGGACTATATTTGTCATCTAACATCCAAGGACAGAGGGAACTGTCGTTTTTGGAAAAACGACACGATGCCCCTCTCTATCCATTGAGGCCCTGAGCTGCTAAAGCTCCTATCCAGTTGGGTACAGCCCCTTGCAAAGGAAGCCCAGTTGGGTGTTGGCTTTTGTGGTAGAGATGTTTGCACGCAGAGAGAAAAGCAGGTCTTTTCCTGCAATGAACAGTTGCAAGAACTGGGAATATCTAGTCTTAACAAAGAGAAGGACTAGGGGAAACATGGTAGCAGTCTTCCAATATTTGAGGGGCTGCCGCTGGAGGTTTTTAAGAAGAGACTGGCCAGCCCTTTTGTCCAGAACGGCCTAGGGTGAGAAGACCTCCAAAGTCCCTTGCAATTCAGTTCCTTTATGTATTCTTTGCAAGAGCTGACTTTTCCCGTGGTCAGGACACCACCTGAAGGAAAAAGGAAGCATCTGAACAAATCAAAAGTGACCCTCAACTGTTTTCATTTGTCTAGGAGAAGCAGGCAATTGCTGGTTGCCCTGAAAAAAGGGGGAAATCCAGGGGTCTCAACTGAGCCATGGGTTGTGGGGGGTATCCAGCTACTGTCCTCCCTGAGGGGTTTTTGTATCCCGCCCCCCCATCCATTCCCTTTGCAACACTTCCAACTTTGAAGGGCTCTTCTTATCAGAAAGATTTGTGTGACACTGAGGCTTATCAGAGCATTAAGCACTAATCTTAACCGGTGTTGCTGCTTGTGAGCAGAGGAGATCGTGGACAGCGGCTCTTGGGTGACCCTCCTACCTTGTGGAGGAATGAGGGGCTCCTGTTGGCCTCCTCAGTCTGAAGAGGGAGAGTCTCTGGAGGGAGGGATTTCATGCTGGAGTTGTCAACACCCCCCCCCTTTCCTTCCCATCAGGCTCAAGAAGCTGCCCAATCCTGATTCAGATGACCCAGAGTAGCAATATGGCTTATGGCCAAAGATGGCTGAATACAACTGAGGGCAAGAGGAGAAAAATGTATTTCTGTCGTTGTCATGCCCCTGTTAGAATCTGACTCCGAGGGAGAGGAGGAACAGCTGACAGGGAGTGGGAGGTTGTGGAGGAAACTGGGGAAGGGCACAGGCCGGCTGGGCATTCCGAGGAAGACCCAGGCCCATCCCCTCTTCATCCCACCGTCGCCTTTGCCTCCCGAGAACTTAGGGAGGGTCCCCTCGGAGCTTCTCCCCCCCCTCCACTATCCAGCTGCAGCCCTGCTGCCTCTCAGGTCTGCCCCTTCCCAGGCGGAGCTCTTTCCCGAGGTCTTTCTCACATCCCATTACATCGCCCCTCCGGAGCTCCCAGGGAAACTGAGGGTAGCTGTGTCCTCCCACTTTTCTGAGGCCACAAAGGCATCCTGTGCCTGTAGAGGTAGCAACTGCTGCCCGTTTACCAGGAATCTGTGGGCCTCCCCCCACCTGTCCTGTGTGCTTGGTGTGAAAGGAGCCGGTCATTTGCTCCCCGCGAGGCACCTCCCATCTAGGCCTTGTTTGTCTCAGAACTTCCCCAGTTTTGTCTTGACGGCCACTCGATACTTGTGCCCTTCTTCCATTCTTATTGGGGGTAAACACTTTTCAGGTCTAGTTCTGTAAAGACGCGTGTCTTTGGTAGCCAGCCTAGTCCGTCTGCGTGAGAATGGATCGTGGTTTCTAGCAGCTGTCCTTCTGCTCCGGTCTTTGCTCCCCGCTTTCCCTCCAGAGCGGCTGCTTTCTAGAGCACCGTTGTTGATGCCAGTGCTGGGGAGTTGGAAGAGCGAGTGAATTCTTTCTCGATGTTAATATTCAAATCTCCCTTGAGAATTGCTAACTCATGAGCAGGCCTGGGATCTCCAAAGGGCGCTTTGAATTCGCGCATGAAGTCCTGATAGTTGCCGGGCACTGGACCGTTTCCCCCAATGGCCGGTGCTGCTCGCTTGCTGCTGCTTCCTTCAGCAGTCACACACACACACACACACACCGGCCTTCCATTTCCCACCGAGGAGTGAGTGGCCAGAACTGATCCCAGCCCCCTCTGCACTTTTCCAGCAAGCAGGAGCAATTTGTGTGGCCACAGATGGGGCATATTCTGCTCCAACTGTGGCGTTGTGCCATGGCGCTCTGCAAATCGGTCATTGTGGTGGTGTTAACAACAACGCTACTGCCAGGTGCTCAGCAGATGGCAGAACTCATTGAGGACAGGAGGCCATTCCTAAAATTCTTCTCTTTGGAAGAGAATCAGAGACTTGCAAAATTGATATCAGCCTTACTAAATAGACCAGACAAGAATCAAGACCAGGAGTACTAATTCTACTTTATTGCAAAATTATATTAAGAGAAACTTGCAAGTCTGCAAGTACAAATCTCCCACTGTCTCCTTTACAGCCTGAGAAACTAGTAAGGGTCTCTTCTGGGTCTCCTGCTCCACCCACCATACAGCTGCAGGCTATGCCGTCTCTTCTCTGACTGCTCCTTTGGCAACCTCTCCAGGCCCAGCCTTCCAAGATCTTTGCCACACACCATGAGGATTTCTGAAGTTGCTGGTGCTCTGCAGAAGCCTGCAAGCAGTTGTGTGTGCTCTGGGCTTCTTGGACTGTCTCTTGAAAATACGGTGGAGAAATGGGGACTATGATATTAACAACCAAGCCCTGGGGGGCCCAGCCAACCCCTGCGCCTCTCCAGCACAGGGAAAGCTTCCGTGCCGTGGCTCATGTTCTCTCCCCACGCTAGCAGGAGAAACAGCAGGGCTTCCCTTTGCATGGGGGCTCAGGGGGCTCTCCCCCCCAGGTCTTGGGCAGCAGTCACGTTCTCCAGGCTCCCAAACAGGATGTCACTGATGTATTGTAGGGTGCGGTTGTCAAAGACCATGTTGAGATGCTCAGCTCCAGGCAGTTCCAGGACATGGACCTTCTCATCCTGCTGGTTGCGCCACGCCTTGCACAGCTCTATGTTGCGCCAGCTAACCACGTCATCCCCATCCCCATAGATAATGTCCACCGGGTCCTCGTAGGGAAAGCGGTCGTCGTAAATGTAGGTCTCCGGAGTGGGGCGCCCGGTGCCAAACAGGCAATAGACCTCCACGCCCGGGGCTGGCAGCTGTACCATCAGCTCCTTGCTGTCATTCCACATGAGCCAGCCGTCTTCATAGTGGATATCACGGAAGAACTGCTGGTAATCCCGGTAGGTGTAGTTGTAGGAGGGGGTGGAGATGAAGACGTGTGTCTCCGGCCAGGCCGTGTGGGTGGGGAAGAGCCAGGGACTATTGGTGGATGTTCGCTTTTCTTCACGCAATTTAATGTTGGACATAATAGGGATGCCCTGAAG